GGAGTCATTTGACTTATCCCTAAATCACATGATAGAGATTTAAAAGGATAAAAAAAAAAGGGAATGGCCTTTGAAATAAGCAATTTAATTAGATTACAGCACTTGAACCACACCCATCAAGCTCTCTCCTATTCCTCCCAATTTAGGAAGATTGAATTCTATAGAAAGGATAGAAAATAATCATCACTCCTATAATCTTTTCTCTCTCTTCTATCCTACCAATCATAAGAATAATGTCTTCACTCTTCCATTTTCAATATCCACTTTACATCCTTCTACTATTCTCCCTTACCAAGCACAGTGTCAGTTCAGCAAATAGCTTTAAACCACATTGATTCTTCAGACAACTTTAACTTCTCCAAAATCCAAATGTAATTGCCATTGTCCTCCTTTTCTCAAGCAAGACCAACTTAATATTCAAAATTGTGAACAACTTATCTATTGCTCCATTTGTAGGAAAGAACCATAGAAAGATGACATTACAAGTAACTCCTTCCAAACAATATGCTCCATTTGACAAACCATCAGCTATTACCTACATGATATCATAAGTATGGCTCAATCTAGATCACATATGCCTTTTTTACCTTTCAAAAGAAGCAATAACCTAGAACCGATTTGAGAAAGGAGACAAGCTGGAGATGTAGAAAAATAAGAAGAAGCCAAAGAAGATGAAGAAAAGAAAGGAAGGGAGAGAGAGAAATGGTCAGTTAATCAATCAAAACTTCTCTAGATGAGTCCTCAATAACAGAAATCTTAGTAAGATATACTCTATAAAAATACAGAGGGAACTGGGAAAATACTAACTTATTGTAATTGAGCTATCATTCCTAAGATAATTTGGTACAAGAATGAGACCCAACTTCAGAAAACTAAGCATCCCACAATTATCCTAATAACTTAACTCAGATTAATAACAAGATCTGACGGATCCGTGAAAGCCACTTCATCACAAAACATGTACATCCTTGCCATTACATTGCATGATCTCAGTTTTAGATCAGTTGATCTTTCTGTACTCTACCTCCAAGAGGTGTTCAAAAGAGAAAACTAATACATTCTTCCTTTTACCTTTTCTGCAACAATCCCTTTGCTCCAATATGTTAACACAATTAATTTGTATATTTTCCACTTTATCAAGTTGCAGGCAATTTGCTGCTTCAGTTAACGCATATTAAAATCCCTCCTTCCTCTTCCAATAAAAAGAAGATTTAAACTTCCCAGTTATGTCCAATTGAGGTTTAATGTTCTGCAAAAATGGTTCACACTTCACAATAAAGTTTCTAAAAGAAATTTAATAAGTTCTTGTGTTATGTTGCGATTAGAACTCTCTGATGGTTTATGGAATCACTTATTTCATTCTTTTAGATTAAAACTCCTTCATATCTGCACTTTCAGAAATAAAATGGTTGACTTCTCTATCCTAGAAACAGGTACATTTATCAAAACAGCTGTAATACACAAATTTTCAGAATGATAAAAGAGCTTGAATGTATATTATTCCAACATCTACCTTCAGCACATATGAAAATAAATTAAATCCCATTAGAAGTACATTCCTCTTCAGTCTAGGTGCGGATTATCAATTAACCGGCCAAAATATACCTAATCTACAAAAGCCTATCCAACTGGAGGACTGCTTGAGAGAATTGAGACCTTCTGAATTGGTACATGACCATTCTTGTGAATGAGTTCCAGAAGATAAAATTTCATGTCTACTCCTTCAAACTGTCATTGCATCTAAAATGTTGTCCCTTTAACTATATAATGTGATAGTTCCACATAAAAACGGACCTTCAACACCGGCACCAATCATTCTAGAACTTCCATTCCCAAACCAAAAGTTATAGGCCCAACTCATGCTTTGTTGAACATACATTCTCCAATAGAAATAGGATTATTATCCGGAGAATTGGAGTTTGAAACATCCAGCAGCAAGTTCATATATTTGTCACATGTCTATGAAATAAATATGGAACTCTACAATCAACATTGAAATATTACATAAAAATTATTAATTTGAAGTTGTGGCGAGTATATAAATTTGATTTTAGGCGTGGTGAATATGATAATAATCCAAATAATAACACAATTATAAATATGCATTGAACACAATATCAACATGAGCAACGTTGTAATTTATAGTAAACATTTAGATGGAACAAGGACACGACCATAAATTTGTGGCAGCTAACAATAATTCAAACTAAAACAAAAATTCACCAGGAGAAGTCTCCAAAACTAGGCTATATCAGGCTAGGAAAAACTAACCTCAGGGCTGTCAGAGAGGCTTGAAACAGCATCGATAAAAGCTTTTCCAAACCCAGTTGAGTTATCAATCCAGGCAACATCGAGAACATAAAGAACAACTCCCAAGATAACAGTAAAATAAACCCAAGAAACAATGCTTTGGGTCCCCAAATTGAAGGCTGCAGAGTCCTCACCCACCAGAGGCAAGGGCTCGTCTGCGGAGGCATCGGTTTCCCCAAGGGAAGCTCGAGCAAGAACTCGAATTCTACAACAATCTGAGTGGAAAGAAGGGGCTTTAAGGAATGCTGGGTTGGTGGGTTTCTTGGGTTTTGGGGAGTGCAGAAGAGAGATAGATGAGATGGGTTGGAGAGGGCGCTTTTGGGTGCTGGCTTTGAGTGGATGAGGAGAGGAAAGTAAGGAGTTTGCTACTACAAGACAAGTTGCCATCTCTCGTACCACAAAGGAAAATTAAGAGACACGACAGGGGAAGCTTGGGAAGTTGATGGGATTACCAAAGTCAGCTCCAAACAGAAACTAACAGAAAATTGTATTTATCCTAAGCTTGTGACTTGTGAGAAAAAGGTGGGATGGTGGAAGAAATTAAATACTTTAACAAAAATAATATGTTTTACCATATAATTTGTTATCTTATAGTATTACTAAAACTTTTGTTATTTAACACTAAATCCAGGCATTATTTAATTATTAAAATGCTTTCAAAACATAATTAATATTAGAATATTGTTAAATGATTTCATGAAAATTATACTATTATAGAAAAGTATTACCAACATAATTTTTTTCATAAGTGAACTAATTGAATTTTATTTATGTTTTTTCAATAAAATTATAAAAAAAATTTAATTTAATACGGATGAATTTGTTTGATAAAGAAATCAAACAGAAGTGTAAAGAGGGATAGAGGAGAGTAGTAAAATATTAAAGTTGTAATTACGTCGGGATGACCCATCAGCATTCTCAAGTGCCAAATTGGTCCCTCGAAAGCGCGGTGCCGGCTGACCTAACTCCAGCAGGGATAACAACATTTTGTCTTCGGTGAGGGATTTGTGTTAAGATCACGACATAAAGATTGGACTAGTTAGGTTCAAGTGAAAAATATCATATCCAGTCTTCTTAGCAACATTTCCTTTTTCTTCTCCGTATTCATCGGTTAGAACCTAGTCATAACGTAACTATGTAGTATGATAACTGAAAACAAGTGTAGTGGAATAAACATAAAGGGCATGGCCTAACTAAATTGGGCCTATGCCAAGCCTAATCCGGATTCCTCATCTTGGGCTTACCCTTTTCTTCAAATTAATAGCCCGCATCTCTGGGCCATTGAATAGTGTTGGAGGGCCATTTTATACCGAATACTCTATTCAGCAAGATTTATTAATTTATGCATTTTGATTTGGTTTCCACTTTTTAACCGTTCTTAGGTGAAAAAAACCACCTAATTTTTTTTTATTTTTGTTGATAATAAACATATAAATTTATTTAAATCAAGGTAGCTTCTTTACATTTTGTACTTGTCAAACATGGATGGACAAATGAAGAAATGAGGAGAGATAAATTTTACTATTAAATTAGCAATTTTTCTCAAGTAAATGTTTTAATTCATTTATCAAGCACACATAATTAAATCTTCTCTCATTTTTTTGTTGGGGTTATAATTACATTTACAAATAATAATTTTAATCACAATCAAATAATTTTTCAATATACATTTGTGAAAAAAAAAAATTAATTTTTGAAATAAGACCTTGCTAGTCACGTAAAACTCTTTTGATTACATATAATCAGTGAGCATGCATCATCGCTACATTAAAACATTTCAATTTCGTTTGTTTCTACGTAATTTAAAACTTAATTCTCCTTATTTTGTTTGTTAAGAAAAATAATACAAAAACCTTATATAAGCATCATGAATCATATATACACAAATCAAACTCAAAATTAAATCATCAAATAAGCTGGAACGTTCTTGACGTCTCCACTCTCCACCACTAATTCTAGGGCCGGTCCCCAAAGTTTGCATGTCAATCCTGTTTTTCTTCTTCCTCCACATAAACATGTGTGCCAATTTACTCTAGCTCTTGCTCATTGAACACTGATTCAGTTTCAACGTGGAAAGCTATTTGTGAAGGTATGGTAGAGAAATTAAGATGGCAATTTCAGAAAGGATTTGCCAAATGCAAACGCAAGCAATGAAAAAGGAGTTTTCGATGATGATATATGAAGTCTAGACGTAGGTGGAGGCTATACAAATCCTCTTAGCTTTGCATCTTTCATGAAAACGACGCAAAACTCCCCCACGTGGGGAATATCGCATGTTGTCTTGAAAAAATATTTTAATCAAATCCCAATAAAGATATGCAATCAACAGCTGCCTTTACCCAAACAATATATGTGTATCTCAGTTGGTTTCATCTTCAAACTTTGCATCACATAATAATTATGCTGTAGTAGCCTAGTTTGGTTTTGCAGGGAAGTGATATATCCAGAAAAGAAATGTTGAGTGTGTTTGCGGTTGTAAAAGGTGCATTGATGAGAGCTTTATCAAAGGAAAAAGGTTAAATATGAAGGAGACTACTCCTCTTGCTTCCAGCTTGTAGGAACCAGGAAGTAAACATCATCAAGCAAGAATAGTGACCACTCAAACAGCCATAAGCTTTATTTTTTTCAAATATAGAGATAAAGAGTGCTCAACTTTTCTCATGTGCATTACATAGCTACAATCTATAGCTTGCCCTGAATTCTTACCTTTTCTTTTTTTCTTTCCTTTTACTTGGTATAATTTTAAGTTAAATATACATTTTAAAAAATAATACGAATCACAGTTTTCATTTATAATATTTTTTATGATATGTTTGTTATATTTATATATAATGTTGCAATCGTTTGATAAATTTATTATCTCTACTTACATATGAAATTAATACATTTTCACGTGATAAATTAGGTTTTGGTTTATAAATTTAATATTTAATAACAACATCTTAATTTCTTTTTGGGAATTTTAATAGTTAGAGAGGATTCGTTGACCAGGACATGTGATGGATTAATTAAGGAATAGCAAGAAAGACGTGTGGCAAGCATTATCCACAAATATCAGAAATCAAGGCCTATTGTTGACTAAAATGAAAGTTAATATTACTACTTAATTACTTAACTAAAGTTTTTTTTTTTTTTTATGGAAGTGAAAGGAAGGAAAGGATGGCACGTAGCCAATGATGCACGTGCAACTCAACATGCCCGCGACGATCCTTCGTTCATCAATCCAAGTAATTTCCCCACAAGCAAAGTACACTGTATTATGTTCATATACGAACCATGCCGACATTTCTCGCTTCTTTTCTTCCGAAATTGCCGTGTATGCTACCCATGTGGTTAGAATTCCGATATCCAAGAAAATAATGTCATTGAATTATGAATAAATGTTATCATCAATCATGACTAAATCAAGCATCTCCATTTCCATTGATCATCATGCTGATTTTATTAGGGAAGTATGACACATATATTATATGTTAAGCAAGACACGATTAATTCAATTAAATATAATTAATTTATTTAACTATAAATAATAAGGTATTTTGTATATCTTAAATATTGGTAATTCGATAAATGATTTTAAATGAAAATTAGATATGTTTAGTAATATAAATTTATCAATTAATATGATCAATTAAATATGTATAAATGTATCATCTATAAATTAAACATGTCAATCCACATAAAGATAAATAATGTTGTTATCATAAATGAGCTGATACCATTATAAAACAAACACATTTAGACAAAATTCAAATCGGCTTTTAACTCTGTTTTGCTTTTATATCATCTTAACTAATGATGTCCACAATTGTGCTTTGATATAGTATCATAAATATTTTTACTATCTCACCAGTATTAAATATCAAAAGAGTTCACGTTAACAAATTAATCCTTCCATTTAAATTCTGACATGTAATCATCCCTTTTTTATAACAAAGAAAATAATCACCAATTATTTTCTTAAGTTATTGCCTATTTAAAAGCGGAGGATATATATATATATATATATATATATATATATATATATATATATATAACACGACACTAGGATTGTTTTGACTTGGCAACTTCAATCACTGTCAGGGTGTGGCAAGGTAGAAATGCACATGATTCAATACAAAGAGCCACATACATCCACCTACTAATGAAACCCAGTTATAGTGCACTACAAAAAACAAAAACAAAAAAAAAAAAAAAGCGAAGAAGAAGAAGAAACTTACCATCACAATCACAAAGCAATAAAAACAACACATCAATGCACTTCCAACTCCCAATCTCCTCCATTTCTTGATCCTGACGGCCGGCCAACCGCCCACTTTTGCACTATCAACGCAACATATACAACCTACAAACCTTACAAACTTCTCCCACATGCCCCTTCCACTAAACTAGATCTCTCTCCCACAAAATTCCTCTCCCTTTTCCCCTTAGATTATCACAACATTAGAGCATTTGTTAATCTTTGGCATTTTGCTAGCTTCGGGTGTGCTTGTAACACAAAAATGTTCACAGTTTGTGACCAGATGTTGCAGTGCCCTCCTAGGCCATTCCCTATTGACAGGAAGTGGAAATCCAACGTTGAACTTGCTCCGAATTGTCCACGTTGTGCCTCTGCCAATACGAAATTCTGTTACTATAACAACTACAGCTTGTCACAGCCCAGGTACTTTTGCAAAGGTTGCAGAAGGTATTGGACTAAAGGTGGCTCTCTTAGGAATGTTCCTGTTGGTGGTGGCTGTCGCAAGAGTCGGAGAGGCAAGTTTAGCAGGGTCGAGAAAGGCGGTCATCTTTCCATGAATTATAGAAAGAATTTAAGTAGTTTTGGCAGTCACCAGGATGAGATGATTGGGGTTAGTAGTTCTCCTGATGGGGACTCAGGGAATCAACCAGAGCCTTCTACCGGGACGGATATTGATCTAGCAGTTGTTTTTGCTAAATTCTTGAACCAGAGTACAAGTTTTGATCACCCTGAGGTTGTTACTCAAGAATTGCCTAATGAAGCTAACGAAAGGATTGATGTATGGAGTTTCTTAGAACAAGATATCAGCAGCCAGAATGGTTCATCGATGGAGTGCCAGAAACCGGTAGTTCCTTCAATTCCAGAATCTTTTATGCTTCAAGAAACGCCTCAAGTTAATCAACAGCTAGAAGAGACTAAAAGTATTGAGGAATTGTTGGAAACTAATCACATGACTGCATTTGGGTTACCAAATCTGTTAGCTGATGAAATAGTGCAGGATGCCTTGTGGTCTGATGATGCTGCAAGTACTAACCCAAACTTTGATTTGCAACCAGTGCTGCAGCTGCAACAGTTTGAGTCCTTTCCAGTGGATGATCAGCTATCGATTTCTGCGAATTTGATGATCGAGAATTGGAGTTCCTTTGATCTTTCTGGGTTTGGTCTTTTTTCAAAACCTTGAAGTTTAAGAGACTTTTCCAATTTTATATTTCATACACTATATTCTTTTTTATTTACTTAATTATAAGTTAGCTTTACTATTACATTCCCCCATGAATTGGCTCAGGTTACGGACATCATATTATTTTAAGAAAATATGAATAATTTGCTGATGGGAAAGCAGAGGTTTTTTTTCTTTTTTCTTTTTTCTTTTCCTTTCATTAGTTAAACGTAAAGTTATTTATTTGTATCACTCGTTTGATTCTACAATTTTGTAATACAATCTGTACTTTAAACCTGTTCATCTTTTTCTCTTTAATCTGTCATTTTTACTTCTCTCTTTAATGAGTCTGTAAACCTTTCTCATCCATAATTTATTACTGGTTCCTAATGTTCACAAGAGTTGAGAAATTTTAATGTTGCTTTGGATAGTAGCACAGATGCACTTCTCTCCATGATTTATTCTACACCCCAAATTGTTAATATCAAGTAAATTTCGTTATATATATATTTCAAACTAAATATGAAATTATCCCATTAATTGGTAGCTAGGAAGTAAGAACCCACGAAATTAAGGATGACAGAGGTGGCTTAATTAACTTTCTTTAGTAACAATTACTATTGTTACCGTTAGTGATCGAATTCATTCCGTTGTGATGCACTGCATTTTTATTTGTGAATGAAAATTTTGAATTTATTACTTAAAATAATGAAAACATAAACATTTTAAGCCATTAAATCAAATGCTGGGTAACATATATTACCCAACTTTTAGCTCCGCGCAAACTTTTTCATTTTCACTGTACTGTCATTTTTTGCTGCAATATTAAGGATAAATAAAAAAAAAAGTGTAATATGTGTCATCATCATTGGTATAAGGATGAACTAATGTCCTACAAAAGCGAAGGACCTTCTGATCTATATTATATCCCCAGCAAATGGATGAGAGATAGATGTAAGGAATTAAAAGATTGTCGCCATCGCTCCATGATCACATGCATGTTAAGCTGTATGAAAAATTATTTAATATGCAGCAGGGAAGAATAACACGTGGAAGTAACGTACGAGGCTAGTATACACAGCTCGGGAGGGATTAATGTTTGTGCATCGCGGGCGTTGTGGGCTGAGTCCACCTCTATCAGATTGGCGATACCTTTGGAAATAGTAACAATTCCACCTTTCCGATGCGACCCATCACATGATGTTTGTCGAATATATGTTGAAGGATAATAATGACGTGATTGAGATGGTTCGAGTTCGAAATTCCAATATAAAATAAACTAATACGGATAGTCACTTTAAAAGTACAAATTGAAAATTGAAGGAGATCACCTTCTACTATGTTGTATATTTTCAATTACCAAATGAAAAGTAACATTTTCACGTCTCACCAATTATTTTCTTAAGTTATTGCCTAGTTTAAAGCAGAGTGTATTTGCATTGACGGTCTTGACATTTATTTCTTCTTTTAATTGGGTGTAATGTAACAAACTGTTTTCAAAGTAGAACTCTATATGATCTCATCCACACAAACTCTATTCAGCATTCATGTCGGCTAGTATAACCCACATCATCGCCTTCCTCTCCGGAGCATATATGAATTTGATAGACTGTATAAGGATATAAAGCCAACGTAAAATGTTACCTGCACAATGTTCTATGCAAAGATGCATTGAACGATTTCAACCTTTAAATTTTAGTTTATATTTATGTGATAGTCAACTGTTTCTTTAATACTCATTTAATTTTGGTTTTGACTCATCTATGTCAAACTTAATATAAGAATGTATGAGTATGACAATGAGTTTGTACTTGTACTCACCCGCATGCACCAGGAATGAGATACAAAAATATGGAAGAGTGAGACAAGAAGATTTTTTATGTACATGCTTAAGTAAAAGTTACTAAAACTGAAAGGTGCTAGCCTTGGCTTGATAAAGTTCTCAAGGGATTGTAAGCATTCCGGTAGTAGAAAATATATCAATGACAAGTACACACTACACTATACGTTGGCATGGCACCAGTATTTTCAGGTTCTGTAAAAGCAGGCACAAATTAACAGCAGAATTCCGGTAACTCTTGGGGTTAGTTCTTCTTATAAGCACCAAGCATTTCTAGAAGCTTGATTAGTCCCTCATGTGTTCCCTGGGATCCTGTCAGCAACTCTGCAAAGATACAAGAAGCAAATTAGCAATATTAATTATATATACAAACCTTTTATGTGCTTTTTTTTTTTTTGTTAATTTGGGGATTATGTATATCAGAATTAGGAATATTCTACTTCCTAAAATTGCACAAATCAATTCCTGACTTCTGGAGAAGTTTTTTAATACATTGGAGGAGCTAGCGAAGAATCTGAATTTGAGATTTCTGTCCTAAATGCAGGGATGGTGATCGAGGCAATCGTCAGTGAGGATTGGAAAAAAGATGACCTTTGTTCATAGAATGAGTTGATTGGAAAATGTTACTTACGTTCAGCTGCGAAGGGGAAGCTGTCAAAAACACTGCTTACTGCTTTCAACAGTTTCTGCAAAGTAACAAAACGATTAATGGAAATTAACAGAAATTTGTTAATTAAACAAAAGATATCAATGATGTTCTATATACCAGCACCAAATCTCCAGGCTTCACTGGAAATTCTTCTACTCCAGTGATTTTCCTGCTTTTAACAAATATGTCATTAATTCCCTGGTTGTCAAACAAACTCGCAAGTATCATCTGCTTATATATTATAACAGAAATTGAACCTGATAATAAGCTTTCCATCAACTTGTTGACATTCAAAGAGACTGCAACCATTAGTAAATGGTATCTCTTTTCCCTTCCACTCTGCAAGAAATTCACAGTTGAATGTCAGTTGGGAGGAGGTACTTAATAACCAAGCTATTGTAATTATGTCAGTTCCATTACTCCAATATGAGTACAAACTCAGCTAGCCCGTATCCATTTGTCTGTTTTTGAAAATTGTTGTCCATGCTCAAATGTAGAAACAGCCTTCTTGGTTTTGAAACCTAATTGATAGGTTGCTCAGGGGAGATGAAGTTTCATAATTCAAACCAAGCGAGACCTTGCCTAGATCGAGGATGCCATTGGACAAATATACAACGACTAGAATGCTCACCTAGATGCCAAGTTACACATGCAGTTAACTTCTCGCCTTCCATCAAAGTATCAAGGACAAAATGAACATTTTGCCCCATTGCCTCCATCAAACCTTGCAGAAAGTTTATGACACTCTGAGAATATATAGCACTATCAGATTGGTCTCCTTTGAAGCATTTGGTTTGTTTTTATTCTCAAAAAAGAAAAGCAACACTGATTGGTTTTATCGGCATCAATAATAAAAAAAAAAGGTTACTGAACATTGAAAGAGGCGAAAGAAAGACCTGTTTTCCACCAAAGGGGATGTAAAATATGAGGTCCTGAAATACACAATCATGTGAAAGAAGTTGGTCCAATTTTTGGGTGTCCTTGACATTTATGGCACTATAGAAATCCTGGATCAAGTCTAATACAGAAGGCGTGGACCACTGGGGAGCGATCCCGCATGACCCATCATTACTGCAACAGACCCTCCATTCACCATCTTTGATCTTACTGCCATAATTCGAGTGCTTCTTCTCTCCTTCTATTCGTAGTTGTGTAAATAGGGCTTTAGAGTTAGGCTGTTTTGTGACTAGATTGATGGAATGCCTGGCATTGCCTGGTTGAACAATAGACAATGGTTTGAAGTTCCTGTTTTGGCCCAGGTAAGATCCTAAAGAATTTTGAACAGAAGCCATAAGAGAGAGAGAGAGAGAGAGAGAGTAAATTTTAATTGCATTTGTGAAAACTTATAAAGAATACCTATTGGCGGTATTCTAAGATTGTTAGTTAGGCAAAGGATTGATGTTTCTTTTCTTCTTGGTAAAGGTAACGGCTTTCTATGCAAAGACCAGGAGGAAGGCATGGTTGCATCATGTGCTTGGGATTAAGTTGTGGGCTTATTTATAAAGGGCGTGCTGAGAAAAAGAATTTCTGGTTTAAAGCGTATAGGGCCGTGGCTTTGGAATTTTGGAAGGCCGCAAAATAGATTTTATTAATAGAAGAAAGATACAAAAACTCTAACATTAGGGGTAGAGATGATGATGGCTGTCCGCAACAAAGAAGCATAGTATCAAAATAAAAATAGCCACCTGAAAACGAACCCCAACCAAGAGTTAAAAACAAAAGCAAAGAAAGCAGCCCACGGCCCAAATGAAGTATCCACTTAATCGACAATCAGTCATTGGATCGATTAACCACAAACTCAAATAATCTTGTTTTAAGATTTTATCTTAATTAAAGTCACTTGACTAATTAATTAACACTTGATTAATTTTATTTTAATCAAATTAATTTGATATAAATCATAATTTATAATTGATCATGTACCATTATAAGGAGAAATATGAAATGTGGATAATAATAAAGTAAGATATAATTATTCTAAATAATTATCCAAACATGAAACATTAAACTTTAACATCTAAATGCTAAATATAAATATTTCACAAGTCATCCATATAGCAATAAATGTCAAAACAGTTAACTAAATTATCTAACAAATCAAATCATAAGTTTAAATAGGAGCGCAACCATTCATATGTAGCATCCAATGCCCCATGTAGGTAATCAATGTGATCACTTCCTCAGTTAAGATCCTACTCATCTTTGTTCGTGGTCTCTACCATATAATATTCATATTAGAACCAACATAAGGTATCATATACCTTTATAATATAAAGTAGTATATCTTAACAAATGGTACTTGAAAAACTTCAATAAGCTTCTTCTTGTTGCTCACAATAGTTAGAAACTCCTTGCAGTTTTTCCTCGAATGCTCAAGTTTGCCATAGTGATGGCAAATGTCTTTCTTTTTGTCTTTTTGACACCTCATTTATGTATTAGTGCCTTCTGATTTTGGGATGTTACCTTTTTCCTCTTTTGGATTTTCTTCTTTTTTTGCTTTGTTTGAGCCTTTGAAAAAGAAACAAGAAGTAAAGCTCCTTTTTCTCTTTCGATGGACTTCTCTACCATGTCCAGCATTTTTAGAAGTTTGGAAAGAATAGCTTCCAAACAGATCATATAGAAGTTTAACATGAATTAACTGAAGGTGTCAATAAAAGATTATAGAACTAAGTCAGTACTTAGGTCATGATCCATTGCCAATCCTAATTGTCCAAGCCTCTCAATGAGTCTAATCCTAAATAGTTCTCCCACTATTTTTTATGCAAAACGACAATGCTTAAAGTCATTTCAAAAAGTCTCTTCTAGGATCCTTTTAGTGGGCTAGAACCCTATTCAACATATTATGACCTTGAATGTGCTTAACAAGCCATGATATGTCTAATTGGATAGATAATTTAATTTATTGATCACATCTTTTATGTGACTCCTAAATTCAATTAGGTGACATCACAATGTCTAAGTCTATCATATATACTTTGCCTAACTATTGCCTTTAGTTTCCATAATAATCAAGTTTCTATGCATCTGAATTTTATGAAACTAGTTGAGTAGGACCTATCAATAGCTCAAACACACTCGTATAAAAGTGTGGCCTTGAGTGTACTTAATAAGCGTCCAATTAAAAAAATAGCCAAGTTATCCAGATATATAGTCAAAGGCAACTTAGTCATGCATAGCATGTGACTTAAGGATTTTGTTTTACAAATTTATTAAGGTCTCATTTTACATGCATAGCATTTATTAAATCGCATAAAATAAATCTATCACATACTTACTATTTTGCATTGCATAGCATTTATTAAATTGCATAAAATAAATCTATCACATGCAAACTACTTGAGATAAATATAAATTTTAATTATAGCACAACCATATTGGGCCTAAGTCAATAAATATCTACATACATTCATCAACATGAATATACAAAACTTAAAACATGTATTATTCAAATTGTTAATCATATGAAGTATTTGAGGTTAGTAATTTTTTTATTTGAATTTCACTAATTTCAAAATTTTGGGTTTCCAATTTTTTTAATTCTAACATTAGAGAATTTTACTAATCAAAATTAGTTATGCTTTAACTCCTAATTTCATTAGGATTAGAATTAAAATTTATTACAAATTACAAATTAAAACAATTTTAGTTTGTGTTCTAAAACATTTTAGGCAACCTATTATTAATCTCATTTAATTAAAAATTAAATGTCTATTATTACCTATTCTTATTAGGAAATATCTCAAACAATTTAATCTTTAAATTTAATGTCAAATTAGAATTATCTTCTTGTAAGAAATCAATTCAAAACCAAATTTGTCCATAAATATTTAGACTCCCACTACTATTAGGAATCTAATTCCTTGAAATTATTTAAATTTTGACACCCTTAAATTAAGGAATCACATTCCATAATTTATTAAATCAATTATCAACCTTTTTGAAACATATTCCATAAATATTTAATTATCTAATGAGGATATTTTAACTTTCATAATTTTAGAAATCACATTTCTTTATTTATGGATGTTAAAGTATCATCTTTGACATACTTAATTTTAGGAATCATATTCCTTAAATTGAATATGTCAAAATGACCATAATTATTGAACAAATTCTGTAACTTATCCTCAGCCAATTAACTAATTTAATTGATCATTTATTGGTGTAAAACTTGGACAAATCCTATGTCTTAACCAAGACCATGTCTTGCTGCAAACATCAACAGACATGTCCTAATTACGTGGCATTATGGTGACCTATCTTTATGAATTTAATTCTTATACAATTTATTCTGATAGATAACTCATGGAACTATTTCAGAATAAATTTTTAGAATTTTAGGAGGTAATTTGGCAATTCAAAAAATTCAAAAACCATGACTTTTATCTACAAGTGACAAAATCGATTTTTGAGTCCTTTTGAAACTCTGTGACTTAAACTTAGGAATTTACTTCCTAATAAAATTTATCCTGATAAATAACTCATGGAATTATTCAAGAATGAATTTTTAGGAGATTTAGGAGGTGATTTTGTCATTCAAAAAATTCAAAAACCGTGACCTTTATCTTCAAACGTAGTTCCGATTCTGTCTTTATTTTGAAGCTATGTGGTGGCATAAAATTAAGAATTTAATTCTCAATTAAAATTTTCTTGATAAGCTACTTATGGAAAAATTCCATAAAAATTTTCTAGGATTTTAGAAAATGGTTTTGGCTGTCAAAATATTTAAGAACCATGGCTTGTTACCATAAAGTTAGCAACGGTTTGGACTCCACCAACTCAGTTTTATGGAGGTTTAATTATAGGGATTTAAATCTTTAAAATTCTTAGCCACAATTTGGATAATTTATGAAACCTCCATAAAACTCCTCAGCTAGTTGCTGCAACTAATTAACTGCACAAATTTAGCCCTTTCTTGGTTAACAAGCCAAACAAAATCGTGACTGTCACTGCAGTAAATAACAGTTGTTTCAGCCATGTTTTGACAGCTTTACCTCCACCATCAGCCACACATAATCATCCATCTTGGAACATTTCCAATATGTATTGATCCTTTAATTTTTCATCATTTTATAAAGCACTTAAACCTCATTTAAAAGTTAAAAATTGAACCTTTACAAAAGTTTAGTAGAATCGGATTCTCTTATAAATAACGCATGACAATGTCATCAGATTACCACTTTAATTGTAAAATTAATGAGCGCATCTTATGCACTCACTAATCTTCAAAAAATTGATATTAAAATGAGATTAGTGTGGCAGTAAGTAAGATTTAAAAATTCAAAATAAAATCTGTCTAGAAATCAAAATAACTAGAACACATTGTAAAGTTTAAAACTTACTTCTTTGTTTCCTACAAAACCCAACACCTAATAAGCCTTTCGAATAAGGTATCAACAATTGTTAGACATCTTAATGTGTTAAAATCGAGCCATGGATGGCTCTAATACCATTATTGGGTTTGGCTATGGATGGTATACTAAAAAATAAGTAGCAGAAAGAAAATTAAAACTTTAGAATCAAAACATACCTTCACCTCCGAATCACCATGGTGATATTTAACATATAGAATGACATATAAAATAATAAAATCAGAAGCTAATCTTAGCAACATTCTTTTAATCAGATAGCAATCTCTTTAATGAAACCCACGAACACCACAAGAAGTAAGAACCCTAGCCAATCAAGCTCTTGACCTCCAACAGTAGCACACACGATTTCATTTGAGCCTTTCAACAAAGAAAGAAGATTTTAACTAGGCTTTTGTGCTAGTAAAAGGGACAATGTTTGACCCTTTCCACTTCTCACAGGGATGACTGAATTACACACTTGACAAATTACTTAAAAAATATTTTTTCTTCTTCACAATGTAGGTGGCCGCACACTCCTTTTTTTTTTCTTTTTTAACTCTTTTTCATATGTAAAAAAATAGTTAAATGTGATTTATATAATTACATTAACATTAACTTTAACTTTGCAATAAGGCCCTCTATATTATAACACTTTACAATATGGGCTCATGACATAATTAAGCTATTTTAATTAAGCCCAATGGAAATTAAATTGAAATGATTTCCTTATGTTATTGCAATTTTAGCATTATAAGTATAACTATTTATATATTTTGTCCAAAAATTTAATTCAACTCTTTTAATTAAATTTATAAAAGTTAATTACCTAGCATGTAATATAAGTCTAACTTAAATCGTCACTCTCCTAATTTAATTCAAATTCAATCATTGTGTGTGATTTATTAGGTTCTTAACATGTTACCAATCAAATTGATTAATGACTTAATTGATTAATATAAATTTCAATCAGTTAATTTATAATCAACTCCATAAACCAAGATTGGTATCTAGTAATGTATTATGGTCACCCAATCGTTAGGAGAGTTAAAAGGTTCTTTAACAACCTTTCAATGTACAATCTATCAATGTAATTAATTCCCTCATCATA